GGAGACATGCGTGCGTTGAACCCTAGCTCATATTCTGTAATCGCTTTCCTTTTCCGTAGGTTTCTCTCAACTTTCTCTAAGCACTACATTTTATGATTAAATTGGCACATTTAGCCAGAGTGAATGTGTTGGAAGGAAGGTGAATTTAGTTTATTTGGCCTGAGGTGTATTTAGCCATCAGAAAGGAAAGATCTCTGTCTCTTCTGATCATCAGTTTAAAAGTCCTGCTTTGGCAGCCTGGGTTATCACTGTCAAGATTGGAATGTATTTTTATAAAATGGTCTTATGTATACAAGACACTAAGTTTGATACAGGTAAAATGGGGTGAAATTGCAGGGTTGCTGCCTGACACTGCACATTACGCTCAATTTTTGAGGTGGGTCCCACTAGGTTTTAGTATTTATGGATTTTTTTATTGTTTTTTTTTCTTTTTTTCCCCTCCCCTGTTTTCATCAAATATCAAACTTCATTGTAAGCACAACTATCCAACTTAATTATTCTCACCTCTTGAGATTTCAAATCCATTAAACAGCAGTAAGGCTCAGTAATGGTTCTACTACTAATAATGAAAGTATAATAATATTGGTGGCAACAGAGGATAGTGAGCAAAACAGTAAGGAATATGTAAAGGCACAGATAGCGTTATTAAAGATATTTCACAAAAGACAAACTCAATTGCCAGGTTAATGCTTCGGACCAGAGCTAACAGTTTTAATTACTTCCTCCTCCCGTTTCCCTGGTGAAGAAGCTAGCAGTAGAGTTATTTGGCTTTCTAAGAAATGCAAGGCTTTCTACCACGTTTCGTTTCCTTTAAAAGAGTTGCTGCTATAACGTAGTTAACGCTAAGGTAGTAGATGCTGCTTTTTGCAGCTGCTGGGAGCATTCTGGTCAACAGCAAGGAGATAATCTTGTGGATCTTGCTCGGAAGGGTTAAAATATCTTCAAGCAGGTGCTTTTTGTTCTCCTTCAGTGCGGAGCGASTTGATGTGATGGTAGAGCTGGGAGGACTTGCATGGTTGCGAGCAGAGTGTGTTAGGATCTGAAGAAGGTGTGTGCGCCTCACAGCTTGAGTGCACTTCTATTAAGCAGAAACTGAATATTGCTGAAATTGCTTTAAACATGAATCAGTTAAAATTCATTTGTGATTGAAGTTTAGGTAGTGTCTTGTACTAGGTTCTGGTACTACTTTATTGCATGTACTCAAAGAAACAGTACACAGTTCTTATGTAATGTCTCAGTGATTCACTTGGTTCTACTCTTCTCTAGTGCACATGATCAAAGACTCAGATTCATTTGGACCAAAAATGCTGACAACAAAGTGTTCAAGTTTGCTGAGGGATACTAAAATTGAAGGCAAAGAAAATGCTGTTATACCATAGCTTGATTAATTCGTCCCTAATTTAAAGCACCTTTGAAATCAACTTTCAACTACTTTAATCTGAGAAAGGAAGCATGGTATTATCAAAAATGGAATATCTAATTATAAGAGTTGGGTGCTTGTTCTGCATAACAAAGACTTTTGGACTAAGATTAGACTTTATGATAACTGGTGATTTGAGAAGATGTTATAACAAGTTTCAGGAAGGCAGGACCACAAGTGTGTGAAATGTCTCCTGTCYTGAAATCAGGGCCTGTGTACAGTTCAGCTTAAAATAACACTTTAATAATGCTTAATAGAACTGCTCTGGATATTACCTGCAGATGCCTTTGGTTTGTCTTTTACTAAAGTGCTAGGCAATGAGGTGAAGGTGAGCGTGGCTGTGCTCAGTGTTCAGCTAACAGGGCTTGAGATGCTTGAGTTTTAGGACCAGAAATAGAGGAGCACAAAAGGGGCAAATGAAAATTTTACCCATCTCCTTCATGGCCRTATGTGGTAATGTATGCTTTATTAAATAGATGAGATGAAGTAGTTACCTTCATAGAGGCTGTTATCAAAAGCCGGTGTGTTCCTGATGTGTAGAACCTTGCTGAATTATTTAGAGCTCCTACTGTTTCAAAGCAGGGGGAGGTATTTTCAGATGAAATGTGCAGAAATACATGGGAACTGAAGTMAAGCTGCTTACATTTAAGATGATTTTTTGAGTTGACAAACTTAYCTACATCTTTATCTTCTCTGTGAAAGAAATCAGTTCTAAAACTAAGTACACTTAACTAAGCTGTGGCGAACTTGTGCCTGCCCTGATTCAGTTTGTGGAGGTGAATGACGAGGAGGGATGTGTGAAGCGAAGCCGATGGGATCCACAAACACCCATCCAAGCAGCAGCCAGGTTTTGGCCAGCCATGCACTGAGATTTAGGAACAAAGTTTGTGACCTGTTTATCTGTTCAGGCTCTAGAGCTGGGCATATTTGTGTCTGGACGGTTCCCTACTAGGATTCATGTTAGTGATGGGCTCTGTGGGGGGAGTGTGAGGGGTCGGACAGCAGACTGTGCTCACCTCTCCCCAGTAGCACTGCAACTAAATTCACTGGATCTTGCTGTCTTCCAAGCTCACCAGTAAGGAAATGAACCAAGAGCCTGTTCATAGCTAAATAACATTGGAAGTGTTTGTTTATTTTAGTAAAATKATAACACCAGAAATTAAGCTTCTCAGGAAGACAAGTGATATCCACACATGACCATGCAATTCTTAGCACCTGCACTGYAGCCAGACCATTTTCTCAACATTGCTATTAAAAGTCATGCTTTTCCTTAATACTGTGTGGTGCAGCTGAAAAGTCTCGGAGAAAAACATGTGTTGCTGCTTTACAGACTGCTCCTTGCACATGTGCTGACTCTGCAGCTGCTTCCTGCAGTCTTTGGCTTTTGTAATTAGGACAACCCGTGAGCCTAGCTAATGATATTAAACTGACTGGTCCATAAGTCTAGCATGTCATTTATCATAAGGGTTTAATTTGCTGAGTATGGGGGCAGCACAATACAAGGCTTGCATGTGTGATAGATGTAACTTGCCTTTATTTTTTTTTTTTGCTCTTGTTGCCAAGTTACAAAAAAGTGTTATCACAGTGAATTGTCTGCATTTAAATAGACTAAGATTCTGCCTAAAACGAGYCATAGTGAGGAAAATTGATAATATACTGATGTCTCCAAAGAGGGCATAACAAAACAAAAACACCCAACCTGTGAAAAGGATAATTCTGTATTCTAGATATTGTCCAGACAGGGTCAAAAATAGCTGTTCAGACTGAGACTATTATATATGCCACAGTAGCAAGTGATGAATAGGAGCTTACATGCATAAAYAGCTACTGATATAAAACTAAATAGCGTGAATATTAGCAGGCATTCAAAGACAGAGCCACAGAAATTGGTTATCTGAATTGTACTGTGGARTTACTTTCCCTCAAAATAATCTGATACCCTTACAGTCAGTTATAATATCAAAATCCTAAGGAAAAATAAAAKAGATAAATCCAAAAATGTATCAAGTCTCCAAATGATAAGAAATAATCTTAAAACATAACAACAGAAAATACTTTTGTGTTTTACAAAGTGGAAAGATATACCATATTTGGATGGAAAAACCAAATCAAACATTTCTTCTACCCCTTCTACACCATACCAAAGTGCTTTAAGTTCTCTGAAATAAGAATCTCTTTCGCCCAAACCTATGTAAAAGATTGCATGGAGGAGCAGTAGCTAAGGGGAGTGTCTGTTACTACTGTCTTTTTGTTAGTGATAAATATAAGTTATTTGCAAAAATGTGCATGCTGAGTCAACAGAGTGTGGCTGGGCACTGTGACTACCTGCATGCTGAGTATCAGTGTCAATGCTCATATCCATTTTGTTGTCAATGCAGATGTGATCAATGTGGAGCCTCCCATCCTCTTAGAATAGAGCTACTTTGTTGTAATAATAATGTCAGGACAGTTAGTTCTTAGTGCATTTCAAATGCAAATTTTAATACATCATTTAAAACTCAACTCCTTAAATAAGCTGACTGCCAGTATACAGATGGTCCAACCAAATACTGTGTGCAAGCTGTTGCAGAAAAATACAGTATAATGTCTAAGAAGCATAGGTAAATCCAGTCACTATTTGAGGTCTTTCCACAGAGAAGACATAATCCAAAACAAATGTCTTCATTAGAGTGAGCCAACTAAAGATCCAAAGGTAAAATCGGGAGCTGCTGCAGTGTGGCACCAGCCAGGCTGGTTTGCTGTTTAGAGGAACAGAAAGGCGTGATGCTGCCTTAACGGTGCCACTTTTTAAGWAAGCCCTTTATTAAAAAGCTTTGCCTTGACTGAGATAAAGCTGGAGATGTAAGGTGAAATCTTTCCATTAAAATAAATAAATATAAACTATCACACAGCCCCAGCAGCAACCTGCCTCAATAACTCTGCTGGAAATCCCGAAATCCCCAGCCTCCTCAGAAAATGGAAGGAGGGAAACTTGCCAAGATTTCAGAACGAGGAAGAGGAGAATGTTGTCCCTTCCCGGTAAACTGCAGTGCCGGAGGTGGGTGCCCTCCTCGCAGGGAGCCTCCTGCAGCTCGGAGCCGCTGCTGCTCCCCGCTCCTGGCGAGCGCCGCTTGCCCGGCGCGGGCGCAGCCGCCGCATCCCAGCGCGGGATCCCCAGCGCCGGGGAGCGCAGGCAGGGAAGCGTCTTTCTGGGCGCTCCGGAATTGCGACTCGCTGGAGCGATGAGACACCTGCCGTGGGCACGAGCCCGCGGGAGCCGCTGCTCCCGCCGAGTCCCCGGGCGCAGGGAGGATTTAGGGATATTGCAAAGTGCAGCCTTCAAACAGAGCAAGTGCTGCTGCTGCAAAAGTTGCATTAGGGGCAGGAAGAGCGATCTCTGTGCCGTCCCTTGACCTGCTGCCTGTACCCGGGGCACGGCGTGGTGGCACGCACGGGGTTAACGCCAGGGGACACACGGGTGCATGTACTACCAGCCGCTAAAACACTCCCTGACCGAGCTCCAGCGGCAGCTCCCGTAGGCAGCGCGGCACCCCCAGAGCAACGGGCTAACGGAGCATGAAAACACTCGTAAATGTCTTACCTTGGGCTAGTCCAGTGTCGCTTTTTGGTTGTTCTCCGTCCACTACCAGAAAGAGAGAAATTAATGCCAGCTTCCCGTGAGTCATCCTAAAGGGCAGAGCGGGCTCGCTCCCTGCACCGGCTGCTGGCTGCCTCCGCGCTC